CCTCCACCTCCCCTCCCTGTATCTGGGACATCTCCTCCCGCAGGGGAGCATAGGGGGATGGCCTGGTGGGGCCATTGGCACCCCACACGTCATCCTCGTAATCGTAGTGGGGCGGGTGCGCGTCCGGGGAGTCCTCCCCTTCGCCATTCCCGAACCGGCTCCTCTTGCCTTGGATGGCAGCCACGATGCCCCTCGACACCCCCAGCTCTGCCTGCAGCTCCTGGATCTTGGCGTGGCATACCTTGTGATCGGGGCCGGTGCCCCGGTCCCGCTGGACGTCCTGCAGGACCGCCCGCACCGCGCTCTGGGCATCGTGGGTCTCCCCGATCCACTTGCCGACCTCCTTCTCCAGCTCCTCTGTTTTCAACTTCTCATAGCCCAGCTTGCTCTCCAGCCGGGTGATCTCCACTGCGCTCCGCAAAGAGTCCCCGCACAAACCCTGCACCTCTGCCCGCAGGTTGTCCACCTGCATTTTGAGCTCGCCCTTGGCCTGCTCCAGTGTCTGCACGCTCTCAAGAGCCTCCTTCAGCAATTTGGACAACTCCCTGCCCACCATCAGCAAACCCTGCAAAGCCGCTCGCTTCTTGCACTTGTTTGTGGGTTTGGGCTTTTTGGTCTCCTCCGACCAGCTCTCCCACTGCTGGCACAGCTGCTGGTACGCCTCCGGGCCCTGGAAGGCCCCCGGGGACCAAACTGGGGGGAGACACTTTTGGAGCACAAACTGCTCCAACTTCCAGTTGCTAACGATGTCGGTCATCATAGTGAGGGGAACAAGATCTCAGACGGCTCCGTCTCAGGGCAAAGCTACCATAACACCAGCACCACTGACCCACCCGCAGAGGAAGGCTGCAACCCCGCGACCCGCCCCTCCAAAAAGCCCTCCCGGGGGGATGCCGAACCTGGTACCAAGGGAAGGGGAAGATGGGGACGGATGGCCGTGGCCGAGCGGGCAGGCCCCCTGCCACGACACACCGGCTCCCGGGGAGGGGACGGGGAAGGGACGTGGGAACGGGTGAAGCGAAGCAGAGGCGTAGTACGACCCCGATAATAAGATCTCACCAATCCTTGGCTGGACGTCCTGGCAGTCCCGGGGACCTGGAGACAGTCACTGCGGAGCTCCGGTGGATTCGGCACCTTTAAGATCAAGGTGTTCGCGAGGTCTCACCCCGGTGGCTTTTTATAGCCATGGCAGGTCGTTGTTTGGGGCTGATAATGCCTCTGTTTACTTTCTCGGTGGCTTTTCCTCCTGCAGGTGCTGCATCCCTCCCCCTGTCTCCCCAAGGACACTTTCCTTGTCTTTCCTTATCCTCTTTGGCGCTGATTAAGAAGGCTGAAATCACATGGGAGCAGCTGCTCTGCCCCTTATCTGTTTTGGGAGGGGGTCCAGGATTAGTCACCGCTCCCTCATGCTAACCTCTGCTTGCACCGAGTGCCCTGAAGAGGGAGAGCTGGAGCCTGTCCCCTCACCATCCATCCTCCCAAAGTCCCCCAGGGCCTCCTCACTTGCTGCACACACCGTTAGCACCTGGGTTTTGGGGGGGGATCACACATGGGGCTCACACCTGTAACACACGCCGTCCCTCCAAACTCCCCCTCCAAGCACAAATTGCTTGTGGGGGGGAGATGAGGTGACAGGAAAATTCATACAATTCGTAGTTTAGATCCATTTTGGCTTCTGGACTTCAAAAGCAGCATTTTTCCATGTCACAAACCAGCCCACGGCACGCCGGCGTATACCTTGGGGGTACCCCACGATGTGTCTGTGGAGCCTCCACTGTGACACTGCATCAGCTGAAGTACAGCTGTAAATCTGCACCTGCAAAGGCAGACGGACCCCCCCAACCTCGTCCTACAAATCACGTCTTAGCTCCGAGCAGTTTAAAAAAGAAAACTCGACCCGCTTGATTTTTTTTCTGCCATTACACTAAGAAAAAGGTAGTACTTATCTTAGTGAAAATGCTATCATTTTCATCACTGCTTTTCCCTCTAACGAAATACTCCAGAAGCTACACCTTTCCCTGAAATGAAATAATTTTTAAAAATTTAAAAAGCAAAAAAATGTTCACCCATGGCTGCTTGAGTCCTGGGGATTTTCCATCCAGCAGCCTGTTATCCCCAACGAGCCCTTAATTTCCAGGTCCTGCAGTACTGGCCATGTTGGACCAGGCTTGAGGCTGAGCAGCTCTCCCCAGTCCCAGAAGTCAGCCCAGAAAGCACAGAGGGAATGGATTTTTCCTTATTTTTATGGCAATTGTTCCTCCAGCCTGGCATTTACAGCCCAGCTGCAATTACCTCTGCTGCAACGTGGGAGTTTAGCAGAGGTGAAACCCCAGACAGGTCCTGCTTCTTGTCTGTAGGCCCCTTTCTTCTACCCTGATGCTTTGCTCCAACCCCCCAGAGCTGTAAGAAAACCATCATGGGGAGAAAATAAAAAGATGAAAATGTAACAGAGCTGGTGAAAGTGCAGGGAATTAGTGTTGGCATGGTGAGGTACATGGGATGTGGGCTGAGAAAAAGAAGAGGAGATATTTCCCCCTGAGATGGGCGAGCACCAAGATGGGACAGGGAGTTGGCTGGGCTGGGGACTGGGATGGTTGTCTTTCATTTCAGAAAAAGAATAAATTCCCCCTAGAAATTGTGCAGCCAAATAACGCAATTACACCAAAATTCAGCGATCCCCCCCATCTTGGCCCAGCCGTGAGCCAAACACTCGTGATTGGGAGCCGCTGTACCCCAGCAAGGTCACCAACAAATCTTGCTTGTGTTAGCAGATCAGTTCAACTCACACTCTTTTTTCCTCCCCTATTTTCTTCCCAGGACAGCAACCCCAGACAATGTGGGGATGTTATAAACAGCAGCTGCTCTCCTGCACGTTCCCACAGTGCTTTTATTTTTGTTGGTGATGGGCTGCCAGACAAAGGCATCCCACCTGCAAAATGTGTTCTTGTAGGAGCAACACCCAGTCCTGAGAACAGCTTGGCCGCCGGTAAACAGCTCAACTGCGTATAAACAGCAGCTTCAAAAAAAACGAAAAATTAATCCCTGTTCCAGCACACGCACTATGCTTTTACATTGCAAATATTCCTTTTTCTTTCCACAGGAGACACCCTATAAGTAAAAGCGCTGCAGGGAAGCATCTCTAAAGCTGCTATAATGGCCTGGGGAATCATCCCAAGCCAAAATATCTGCTTAAACACCCCAATATATCTGCTTAGACAACCCAGTGTCACCAGCCCTGCAGCAGCATTTGGTGCCCGGTGTAACATGCCCTATGCCCAAGATTGTAACGGTGACAAAAGCCACCTCTGGGAGCACTTTGGTCCTGGCCAGGAGGCCAGAAGATGCTCCAGGTGACAGCAGCGGTGAGAAAAGGGGGACGCAGCCATTGCAGCATCCAGGGTCGTTGGGCTCAGCTCACCCGCTTCACCATGGGGATAAAGGGAAAATTCACTTGCAAGTGGCATTTCTCATATTAAACAAACCCTTCCAAAAAAGAATTGCCTACACCCCGTTCTGGGGAGGTCCCAGTTTGGGAGTGATGTGAAATAAAAGGGTAAAGGTGAGCAGGAGGTAAAGAGAGGAAAAGCAAGAGTTGCTGTACTCCGCGTCAGGGTCTTGGCTCTGAAAAAAAGAGCTTAAAAGCACTGAAATGAAAAGCACTTTCTCTGCCAGGAAAGAGATAAGGAGTGATTCAGCCCACCCTAAAATTTAGCAGCCGAGCCCTTCGTGGCAAGGCTTTTGGTGGTTAGCAACCCGCTTCGAGCAGGAAATTAATTTAAACAGAAATGGGGAGGGGATGTGTTACAGCAACGTGGAAAAATCTGGTACAAAATGGACCTAAAAATTGCACTGCACGAGATGCAAAATCATTTTTCCTATTCATCCGCCAACTCAAACCCCGGGGGCGGTTTCTCGGTGCCCCAACGTGAGACCCCCCATGGGAAATCTCCCCTCGCTGGGGAGCCAGCCCAGGGGAGATGCTGAGGCTTTGTAAGGACCACGAGCATCTGCATGGCGTGGGCATAAAAGAAAACCGAACCCTGCTCAGCTGCCAAAGAGGCAGTGAATAAATAAAATTAATAAATAGAATTTTTTTTTCCCCAAACACGGAAATATTGAAGGCTGGCTGATACCAGTTCACCCCTGCAATTTCACATCACTTCGAACCCTAAACCCCGAGTGCTCCAAATCTCTCCCTCCCGAAGACATTTCAAAGCCACTCTGATATTTTATCTATCATTTAAAGATTTCTGCGTATGAGCTGCGCAGTGTCGCAGCTACCAAAGCAGCGACCGCTGCGAGGTGGGGAGCCCCGGCAGAATTTCCTTATTTTTGCGGTTTTTAAGCCACTAAATTTGTTTGAGGTTTCTTGCTCTTGGCTTCAAAGTTTTCTGTGATGCCTTATGCCTCTGCTTTATGGCAAGCTAGTTTGGCGTTCGGCATTTTCCAGGCCCGGAGAAAAACACCTCCCGCTAAAGATTCTGCTGAAGAAAACAACCCCACGGCTCAAATTGCATCTTCTCCTTATTTTGAATGCTTTTTGATTTCGACAGAGGAGAAACCAGCCAAAATTCTTCCTTTCCTTCTTTTATTTTTAATGCCAAGCTCCTACATTTGTCATTTTTTAAATGCATGGAGCTAGATTAAAAGAAGGAGGAAAAACTAGGTGATGAAATATGAAGAAATCATAATTAAAAATCAATAAGTTTCCATTTTTTTTCTTCCTAAAGGGGATTTCGGGGGATCCTGTGCAGTGCTGGAGAAGCACGTGGGGCTGCTGCCCTGATGCACACCTGGATTTGGGGCTCGGCGCAGAAGAAGCTGCCGGGCTGCGGCTCCGGGCGCTGCCGCGGCAGATGTTCTTTGGCAGCCGTTGGTGAGACATCTGTGCTGAGACGGGGAAGAACCTCCTGGGGTGAAGCCAGCCCTACCACCAAGAGGTGACCGTGCGTGGAAAGGGGGAGCTGGCACAAAACCCCTCCGTCATTGACTCCACCACCATGGCCCGGCTGTGGCTCCAGCTCTGCATCTGCCTCCAGATCCCAGGTAAGAGGGACACATCTCTTAAAGGTTGAGGGCACCTAATCATGCTGGAGCCTCTCCTCCACCCGGCTCCAGCACGTGGGATGCATTGCACAGCAATGGTATTTTAAATACACAGACACAGTATAGATCTACAGGATATTATTACCTATCACCACATAATTTTGGACAATGCTATTAATAACATGCTTTAGCTTTTGGTCAGCCCTGAAGTGGTCAGGCAGTTGGGCTAGATGATCATTGTAGGTCCCTTCCAACTGAAATAGTCTATTCTATTCTATTCTATTCTATTCTATTCTATTCATAGTGCAATATATAATGGTATAGACACCGCAGAGTTTGTTTTCAGTGCACCCTCTTAGTGCAGATGGACTGTGGGAAGCTGCTGATGGAGAAGTTAAAGTAGCACCTATCGACGCTGCCTGTGTAACAACAAAACGATAAACATCCCATCAAATTTTCTTCTACATCTATCCAAGGACTGAATGTTTCCCAAGGGCCACAGCTGGAATCAGTGTGTTATAAAACCATGCTGCCTTCTGCTTATTGCAGACAGGTTGCAGGAGGTCTGGACCGAATATATACAGTCGGTGTCGTGGCAAAGTAGTAGAATTACGCTTTACAGAACAAATTGTGCCATCGGTTCTTAGGTGGAAAGTGTTGAGAGCTTGAAACATCCATTAAATGTATATATTAGGGTGGCAGCTCAAGCTGGTCCCCCGAGACGTTGCCCAACCCAGATCCACAGCTGCCCAGCATCCTCACTAGAGGCTGTCAGGACTGCAGGGTGTTTTGTTCGCGTCGTATGATGGTCATCCAGCCACGGCATAACATGGCCAATCTGGCAGCAAACAGCCCGAGGCGCTTTATTGATTCCTATGTACAGGTAATATTATCCTGTAGATCTATATGGTGGGGTGCCCACTGAGAAAACCCCAATAAATTAGAGTTTGCTCCTCACGTGCAAAGGGAAAGGGACCGTTTTCGAGCTGCTGCAGGCTGCTCTGGCCAAGCACGTGGAAACAAACCTGTCCCACCCCCATTCCCAGTGGTCCCCTGCAAGAATATACTCCGGGAAAGGGAGCAGGGAGGTTTTGGGGGATGCAGGTGTGGCAGAGGATGAGCTTTTCTGCTCCGGCTCCATTCTAGCTCACCACACAAGCTTGACCACTGGCTCAAAGCTGAGCTGAGCATTTTCCAGGATCCTTTCTCATCCCTTCTGATTCATCTAATAATCTCTCTGACAGCTCAAGAAAAAGGTTTTCATGGGGGGTTAAGTTTCCCATGCCCATCAGAGCCAGAGCTCAGGGCAGCCAAGGAGACCCTGAAGCCACCACGTCCCATGGCCACACACATTTCATCCCCTAAAAAAACACACAGGTGTTTGCCAGAGCAAAGTTTGGGAGGATTGCACTCCAAAACCTGAAAATTATGTATTTTAATAATAAGGAGACATATATATTGCGGCAGTGCCAGAGGATGTGGTGAAATGCCGCGGTTGCTGTACAACACCTGAATTTCGGCATTGCAATATTAGGGCTGAAGCCTGCTCGTCTCTGCAGTGCGCCGGCAGCGATGGGATCATGCGATGGGGAGGAAGGCTCTGGACCTGTGTGAATCACCAGAGCTCTCTCCTCTGCCTGTCCCCATCGGGGACATGGGGGACATCAGGGCCATGGGCCACGGGGATGGCTTCAGGTGTTCCTGTGGTCGTGCAAACCCATTCCCACACCACTGGGTTTGCAGGGCTGCACGAGGCTGTTTGCAATAAGTACTGCAAGCAGCTTTGGGATTTTGAAGGAATAGGGACATTTTAAAGTAAAAAAAGCCAAAAAATGTGTTTTGTTGAGCTTTTTGCACAGCTTTAAAACACGCCTGGGAAACAGACGGGGGAAGTGAGAGTATCCTAATCTTCAGAGGGCTGTTTTTCACTCGGTCTCAGAGTATCTGCAGCTTTGCAGGACTGTTTGCCGAACAGAAAGGATCACAAGTCACCTGTTATCCTTTGCACAAGGACACATCCTCGCTCGCACACAGACACCGCTCACATCTGCCCGGGCCAAACACGACTCAGATAATTTCCAAAAAAGCTGCAAAGACCAAACAGGGCGATGCAATGGCAAACCAAAGCTTTCAACCCCACCGCTACCCCTCACTCCCTCTCCTTCCCCAGGTCTCGAAATTCATACGAAAATAATGTCGTCTGAAAACTAATATCAAATTGGCTCATTTTGAGATGTTTTGCCCATTTTTTGGTCTTTTTCTGCACCTGAGATGAAGTTTATCGGTGTTGCATCTGTTAGAACAAAAATCTGGCAAATAAGTGAGGCTCAAAAAAAAATCCCTTGAAAGAGAGGTGAAGTCTCTCCGAAAAATGAGAGAGAAAAGGAGGGCAGGAGAAGGGCATCCACAGGAGCAGGTGGGGATGCTCTTCCATGCACATACAGCCCCAAGAACACCCTCAAAATCATCCCTCCATCCCTCTCCCTGCCACTGAGCCTCCTCCCTAGGGTAAACTCTACCTATATAACCAGGCTTGACCAAAAAATAGCCGGGGAACCCAAAAAGGCCTCTAAGGAAATATGGGAGCAGCCTGATAAAGATGCTCCTGTTTCTCGCTTGTGTGATCCCCTGGTCTGTGACTGCTTGATCTTATTAAGCTCACAAAGAAAATCTGTACTTAGCATGGAAGAAAAATAATGAAAAGAAAATAATAACTATGTATTCCTGTCTCTTTTTTCTTAGGTTTCTGTACAAATCTACTTTTATCCCAGATTCCAGAGCATATTTTAGCCCAAACTAACAATAAAACAGAAATCGTCTGTGAGCTGAAGAAGGAGCATGCTGGGGTGTACTGGTACCGCTGGAGCCAAGAGAGGCAAAATTTCGAGTTCTTGATATTTTCCAACCCGTTGGGCAAAGCCATGTACGGCGCTAACATCAGCCAGGACAAGTTTAGTGTCCATGGGGCGAGTTCCCACACCTCCTACAGCTTGCACATCAGCCACCTCCACACCTCGGACAACGGCACCTATTACTGCTCCATCTCCCAGTCCTCCCAGCTCCTCCTGGGCAGCGGGACACGGCTCGGTGTGGGTAAGCATCACCCCTGGGGCTCCAAAATGTGCCACCGGCAGGCTGTGATGAGGTCCCCTGGGTAAGGGGTGATGCGTGTTGGTAGACCCTTCCCAATTTTGAGATGCAAGGTTGGGGCTCTGGGGTTTTCATGAAGAGACCTATGAGACTGGAGAAGTCAGAAAATACAGAAAATAGCTATATTTTAGGTCAGCTGCATGTGATAGTTCTTTTGCCACCAGCGGTTGCTCTGCTGTGGTCATGCCTTGAGCACCGTGTGGATCCTAGCGGCTTTGGATTTCCACAGGAAGACCCTCAGCCCCCAATATTGCCATGCCCTGCGTTTTTCTCATCCCCCGTGGTACTTTGGATGAGAGGCTGGATATGTACCCTGCTCAGCTCCCGGGTCCTCCCGCACCCCAGTTCTTCCTTACCCTTCCTCCACGTGATAAGAGCAGCATCAAGGCCAGAGGACATCACCCCTCGCATCGCTGGGGTGGGTCTGACTGCAGGTTTCAAGCCTGTCCTTCACATAAAGGATTGAATTGGGATTTAGTCCTCAAAGCTCACAACCCACCATCACTGGGGAACTCCAACCAGAAATCAGAGCTATCTGCGGGTGGCATTGGGGGAGTGATGCTTTACAGACCCTGGGTCATACAACAGCTCTTTTCAGCCCATTTTCCCCTTGAGCACCGAGCAGGGGGTGGTGTAGAAAAACTAATGTATTTGAAGTAGGATTCAGCCCTTTCTTTGCAGGCTTTTAGGGAGACAAATAACTTCTTTAACCAAGATGCTGCTACGGTTGCTGGCTCTTAATCATCCCCAGTGTCCCAGCCTTTCTGGTTTTTTTGCAAATACGCCCTGCACCTTGAGCTGGCTGAGAAAACCCTTTTGGATTCTTGCCGGCTTGAAGAAAAGCTGGCTTAAGATAAAAGAGAACTGTTTTTTATCAACTGGGCACATATCTATGTGCAAAGCAAAGCATGAAAAATAGGCCTGAAATTCAGCATGATCAAGGACACTCCAATTTAAAACTAAACACCAGCAGGTGCTCTGGGAGGACTCAGGCCCTGCTGGATATTTTCTTTCTTTCCTTTAGTACACATGATAAAACGAATTGTCTTTAAGTTCTTTTTCTTTATGTCTATTATAATGTAAGGGAGAAGTTGTCCAGGTAAATCCCAGGCACCTGATGTCTCACCTTTCCATGTAAAAGAATGGTGATTTCCATAGGAATTTCAGTCCTGGATGGAAGTAGAAAAAAATTAGTTCTGAATCACCCAAAATTTTGAGTAACTGGAGTCTGAGCGGTCAGATGTACAGCTATTTAATGACATTACTGGGATATTTTCCTGACGAACTTTACGGAGAGATGAATGTGCTCCGTTGTAATTCAGATACACCATAATAAATCTGGCCCTCATTTTATCAGGGGGAAAAAAAAATCCAATTTTGAGCAAAGATTAGAGCAATCTGAATATGGAAAAGACCCGGGGATCCCTTAAAACCTCCCAGTGCTACTGAAATCTCCCACTACCTGTGATTTCGTGCAGTGCTGATGAGATGGTGCCTGGCAGTAAATGTAGCTCGAGGAAGTTTCCTTTTTCCCTGCCTTAACCTTCTGCCCTTGTTTGCCTGGTGTGTTGTATTATTAACGCTTTTACAAGCTCTTGGTAACTTCTGTGGCCACCGAGGGGTTCAGGTCAAGCTCCCAGCCCCTCTGGATGACCCAGCCCTTTGTGGGGGTCCCTCGATGGGACTAGTTGTAAAAGTCAAAATTTCCAGCCCCTCCTGCCTGCTCTTTGAGACCTCCACTGCACTTGGTGCCGTATTAACCATCCTCTTCTCCTCCTTACCCACCAGTTGATGTTTTGCCTCTGCCTCCGAAGACCACTCAGGCACCGCTCTCCAAAAAGCCCGTGCGGTGCGTAACCAAAAGCAAAGCTGCTGGCAAGAAAGGTGCGGCACCGAGTCGGCTCAGGCTGCCTTGCAAAAGGGGTTTGCTGAGCTCCTGGGGGTCCCCAGGGTTCAGCTGGAGTTTGTCCTGCAGGGGTGGTCATCCAGGTCCACCTAGACCCACCACTCTGGATGAAGCTGACCTCTGCCTTTAGGAGAGGTTCCCTGGGATATACAAGGGTTTAGGGGCCAGGATGTACTTCCATTTAGCTCTGCCTAAGCTCTGCTGTCCCTTGGGTGTGCAGCCCCTGCGGGTGTAGCGTCATTCCTGCAGGCATGATGAATTCCCATGCCAGAGAGGACACCACAAAAAAGGTTATCGTGACTTATAGCTAAGTTCCCTGCAACGCCTTTGGGGTGGAATGCATCCTCCAAGGGATACCCCAGGGTGATGGTCATGTCCTCCACTCCTCCTGAGGACCTGCCTTGCTTTTCTGCCCTCCCCACCCCACCCTTCATCCCCCAAAGCAGCTGGGGCAGGATGATGCCGGGTGCTGAGCTGGAGCAGCAGCTCCACTCTGTGTTCCCTCCTGCTTTCCAGGTGCCTGCAGCCCCCTGGTCTGGGTCCCTCTGGCTGCCACCGTCCTGGTCCTCCTGCTGAGCCTGGTCCCCACCACCTACCGCCTCCACCGTAAGCATCCCACCAGCCCCAGGGGACGATGCGGGGTGTCAGGCCCCGGGACAGCCCGGGAGCGGGATGGGGAGCTGGGAGGGGGTCCCCGGGCTGACGGACACCATCTCTCCCCAGGTCTGCGGCGGAGGCTTTGGCTTCGTGTCCACAGGCAGTAAATCCCACCGGTTCCCCCCACCTCGGGCAGGCAGGGAGAAGCTACGGACCCTCCTCTGCACAGTGCTGAGCCCTGCCTGGACATGACCCAGGAAGGACGTTACAGGGGACAGACATGGGCTTGCACTGCAAGACAGACATTTCTTTCCTACGACGGACCACGACATTTTTCCTTGACACAACAGCTGGCAAAAGGACCAGGCCGGATTCTGCAGCGTGCTGAGCATTTCTCAAAGGGCGCTGAGCAGGTCAAACACCACGGCTGGCTCTGCACTGGGGGCACTGGGGCTGGCATACCGAAGGGATTCAGATGGGCTGGAAGGATGCTGTGAGCAACTTGGCTCTCCGCTGCGTTCATCTGTAGGACAGCACGAAGGTGCTTTTGGTTTCATCCTGCTAATGCTGGTTGATAAGACTTCAGTAACGAACGCTTGAGAGCAACCGGCAGACGCAGGGACAGGTCACTGCGCGGCCTGTAAAGGCCCTGTACAGGCATGTTCGTTAGCTATAATGAATATATCACTCAGCCATTTTGGTCTGCAGGCTGGTGTCTTGTGGCCCTGCTCAGTGAGGGACACGGTTGCGTGGGGAGCAAGGAACCATGGCCTCTGCCCAAGCAAGAGTTAAAGCAGAGCAAAAGCTCCGGGGGGAGCAGGTCTGGGAGGGTGTCTTCTCCCATGGGAGACTGCAAGCAGCCGAGAGTGGGAGAGGAAAGCCAGACAAAGCGATGTACGCAAGGCCAAACACCTGGCGCGGCCTGAAGGCCACCGCCGCCTCTGAGAGCAAACGGAGGCGGCCGGGGGCTGGCCCCGAGCCCAGCGGCACGGCGCCGCCAGCAAGAATTGCCCTGAGCCCCGCTCCTGCTGAGCCCCCGAGAGAGACGCTCGCGTGTGCTGAGCTGCAAGCGATGCCCTCGCGTGCTGAGCCCTGAGTGGTGCCTGCGTGTGCTGAGCCCCGGGTAACGCCAGAAGCAGAGTAGGTCTCCCCAGGGATGTTAACAAGGCTCAGCCCCTGCCCAGAGCTGCAAGGCTGACGTGGGGCTGGAAATTCGGCGCCTTGCTGAGCGCAGGCAGTGGGTGCTCGCCCTCGGATGCATCCCCAGCCCTGCATCTCTGCTCAAACACGGGCACCGGTGCAAGGCTGTATCGCCTGCAGTCAGTGCAAGGGGAGGGTGGTCCAGGCACCTCCTGTCCCCAGCGTGGCTGGGAAAGCCAGCAGCTATTTTTACTGCTGGGGAAGCAGCGAGGATCTCCTGTCCTGCACGTTGCGTGTGTCCTTACAGCTGCCCACGAGCCGAGGGTTGATGCGGCTCCAGCGTCCCCAGGGCCGGGGCAGACGCGGGTGTGGGAAGAGCTTGTATGGGTGTAAAACATCGCAGTCGCACAGCAGCATCCCTCTGGCCTTACCCTCCCTCCCCTCCCAGCCACAGGGCACTGCTGCTCTCCACTTTAAATAGGTTTTTCCAGAATGCTCGGTCTCAAACCCGGCCGTGGGTGCTCCTTGAGATGGATGTTTCCCCTAGATGATGCAGTAACAAAGCCGGCAGCAGCGCACACCGGGCCGGCTTTCCTGGGCTGCGATGCTCACCCAGGGTCTCAGGCCACCCAGCTGATGGCTCAGGGGACACCCACCCCAGGCTCCATCCCACCATCAGCTGCTGCAGGGATGGGATGCTAAAAGCAGCATCTTTTAGCCTCTGTGAAAGCTCAAATGAACTAAACCCATCGTTTTTCTACCCTGCAAGCATTCAGTGTGCAGAGCTTCACCCCAGGAGCAGATGATTTTTATGATACGTATTTTTTACAGGATAGCTGTAAGGATACCTCTTTGAAACTTGCCATAGGCAAAGGTTTATTATGTCAAAAACAGGCTTTTTCCCTTTGCCTGCAGCTGCTCTTGAAATCCCAGCTCCGTTCCCCCGCTTGAGGCATCCTGACCTTAATGTCCATCCCTGCTTCACCTCTCCCACCTCTCGCCCAGCACAGGAGATGGCCTCCCACGGCCAAGCAGCCGGGGCCAGGTCTGGGCAGCGAAAGGCAGGCAGCGACAGCCCAATCCTCCTCTCCCACGGGAAGGTGAGCAGGCTCGGGGATAACCCTGCCCGGTCCGCTCCTCCTCCCTCCATCCCATGCTCACGCCATGCCTGCAATGTCTGACCCTCGCTGAAACCCCCCGGGACGGCACCTTGCCTTGATAGACTTCAGCCACCCAATTATCCCTACTCTAACAATACCCGTTCAAAGGATGGGGTTTTACCCCTCGGCTCTCCGCCCGCCAGTGAATAACTGTAACAGGCAGCAAAGAATTTGCTCAACCCCTGAATTCCCCAATTTGGCTTCGTTGTTCCTTTATAAATTTGAAAACAAACAAACAAACAAACAAAAAACCCAAACCCAACCTCCACATCATCTGCGTGCAATGAAAACAGGAGAGGACAGCAACAGTCAAGGATGCTACGTATCCTGTTGAAACACAGGTTTAGGCAGTTTAGCAATGGAAATGATGAAAAATTTGTAGTAATTCCTATAATCATCTACAGGGTGTTTTAAGACAGTAAACCTCGGAGAGCTTTTAGCAGCAGATTTCACAAATGCAAAAGATGGTGAAAAAAGTCGCCTCCCATTTCATAGACTGTTTTCCCAGATCATATATAAGAGAGAAACAGAAGCACTAATAAAAAGATGCTTTTATGTCTGAGAAGGTTAGCCCGGTCCCCCGATATCTGCAACTTCTTCGGTTTTCTTTCCTACCTCGTCACTGTGCTGAGAGCACGATGACAAGACCAGCCAAGGGTCAGGGACGCCGAGTTGCGGCACGTGGAGGGAAAAGGGATGCTACCATCATGACAACTAAGGAGAAGATATTTCTGTGCGTCTCTGCTAATAATACAGCGCCCGGATCCACGGAGGGAGAGTTACGGGTAACAGCGTCACCCATCACAATGTCACCCCTGCCGCGATGTCCTGTCCCTAATTTATTCCTCATTTCCTTCCGAGGATGGACCAGCCTTCTCCCATCTCCCGCTGTCACCATCTCGCGCTGTCACCCTCCTCCCCGCAGCAAGGAACATCCGTACCTAGAAAGGAAAATAATGGGATTTTATATGTAACCCCAAACTCTCACGTGAGTGGTTAATAAATGATGTCACCTTAAATGACAAAAGGAGACGCTGCAAAAATTTGAACAAAGGCAAAAAACCCTGCTTTGAATAGGACAAGGAGGGTTTTGCAGATCTATGGGTTTAAGTACAAAGTGTTACCTGTGTTGTGCCCACCCGCAGGAATCATCAGGCAAGGAACTGTAAAAGAGGTCAAAAATTACATATTGCAATAATCCGTTATTATTTTATTATTTATT